ATATATATATCATCCCCTCTCATATATATCATTTATCATCTGCCTAATTCCAAGATTTGTTAGGAGAAAATAATTCACTTCACATTTATGTAGTACATTAATATCATTAAACTCGAAATTTCGACATATTGAAAATCTTATAAAAATAAATAAATATTATTTTTTATATAAAAAACATAAATTAACCCAAGCGATTCAGTGAGCTATTATCGACATTTTCATACGGGATTCCAATAGGATACTTATCGTCTACGTTTAGTACTCGCAGTTCTGCCACGTGTTGGTTCCCCGCCAATTTCTCTACGTATCATACAAAGAAGACACTAATCATCTACGTATAAATCCCGATTTCTTGGCGCCAAAAGTACGAAGAAAACGAGGGAGAAGATAAGCGCGAAAGCATAATAGTCAAAGGACGGTTGGTTCCCGCCAATTTCTCTACGCCTCTACTCCCCCTTCTCCAACTCATTCCCTCTCCCTCTTCCCATCCAAACCCCAAACTCTCCCTCCTACCACCAATATCCACTCTGTCCTCCTCCTCCCTTCCTCTATCATGCGACCGCCTCCTCGTCCCTTGTAGCCGATCACCTCCTCCTCCTCTTCCTCCTCCTCCTCCTCCGTCATGGGCAACTGCTTCACCAAGGAGGACGCCGACTCCGCCTCACCCGATGCCGCCGCTGCTGCCGATTCAACCTCGGGCTCTGATCCCATTGACGCCGCCCCCATCCAGAACGCTCCCATCTCCACCGCCACCTGCACCTCGCCGCCCAAGCCGGCCGCCATCGGCCCCGTGCTCGGCCGCCCGATGGAGGACGTCGGCGCCACCTACTCCCTCGGCAAGGAGCTGGGGCGAGGCCAGTTCGGCGTCACCCATCTCTGCACCCACAAGGCCACCGACGAGAAGCTGGCTTGCAAGACCATCGCCAAGCGGAAGCTCGCCAACAAGGAAGACATCGAGGACGTGAGGAGGGAGGTCCAGATCATGTACCACCTCGCGGGGCAGCCCAACATCGTCGAGCTGAAGGGGGCCTACGAGGACAAGCAGTCGGTGCACCTCGTGATGGAGCTGTGCGCCGGCGGGGAGCTCTTCGATCGGGTCATCGCGAGGGGCCACTACACGGAGCGGGCGGCGGCGTCGCTGCTGAGGACGATCGTGGAGATCGTGCACACGTGCCATTCCATGGGGGTGATGCACAGAGACCTCAAGCCGGAGAATTTCCTGCTGCTGAACAAGGACGAGGACGCGCCTCTCAAGGCCACCGACTTCGGGCTCTCGGTCTTCTTCAAGCAAGGTTTACTTTCTCCATCCTCTTCCTCTCTTCCTTCTTGTTCTAGCTACTATTTCTGTGGTGATTCAATGAAACTCTGCTATGCATCTGCACGAAACAAGGCAAATTCTGCTATAAGAATAGCTAAACCTTCTAAATTGCTTTCCATTTGAATGGTGTAATAGCCACCACTAGAAAAGGAATTGAAGCTAAGCATAGACATGAATCCATATGCAACTCCAGCAGCTTTCTGAGATTCTTCAAATTCGACTATGTTTGCAACATACAGTGTGATCTACACTATGTTGTCTTTAAACAGTTAATGCTCATCTTCTCCAACACTTTCACCCATCTAATCCTCATGGACTACAAGCAAGCACCGAAACTTTAATCTTGCCTGCTCCTCTCTGTACACGGATCTGAATGTGATGTTACAATATTGAACAGTTCAATCACTTCTACCGAGTCTTCTGCATCTTTGTTCATCACTTCTGTGGCCTCTAAACAGTTTTACTGTCTACAGATTATCATGAAATTTATTTGCCATTGACATACTGCTATCTTTTCCGGATTTTTTTTGTTTAACCTTAATTTAATGCTGTAAATTTCACTAAACCTGTAGCAATTAGCATAGGGAATGATGTTATCACCTACTGCCATAGCATGTCAATTCAAGTTCATAGAGCATGTGTTCTCTTACCATGATTTCTCCCATAGAAAGGAAGATAACATAAAAGACCTCTTCCCTGATCTGCAGTAAACGCCTTCTCCAGACTGATATCATATTACCTTTTACAGATAAAGCCTACAAAATATTTAGGTGGCCTTTACTCCAACTGAACAAATAATAGTCCAGCAAATGAAGCATTTTTATATCAAAACGAGTTTGATATTATTAATGCATTAAGAAATTCTGTACGTTTGCATTTTTGGGAGGAATTGTCTTTAGTGTTTTGCTTATGCAGCATTTAATCTTATCTGGTTCGCATGTCATCTATAGCTAACAACTTAATTAAAATCTGTCCAAAACAGGTGAGGTATTTAGAGACATAGTTGGCAGTGCATTTTACATAGCACCTGAAGTCCTCAAGCGAGCATATGGGCCAGAAGCTGATATTTGGAGTATAGGGGTGATGCTCTACATTTTCCTCTGTGGAGTTCCTCCATTTTGGGCTGGTAATTTTCTTTTATGCAACTTTTTACGGTTTATACTCCCTAAATTGTGAGAATGAAGGGTAAAACTAATATTAATTCCAACAGAATCTGAACAAGGGATCTTCAATGCAATTCTACAAGGACAGATCGACTTCACAAGTGATCCATGGCCTAACATTTCACCTGGTGCCAAGGATCTTGTCAGAAAGATGCTGAAGTTAGATCCCAGACAGAGGCTAACAGCATTCGAAGTTCTCAGTAAGATTTATTTTCATCTCAATGGCATATTTTGTAGCTTACCAGCATCAATACCTTATTTTTTGCTCGACGAGGACTTGATCTAGGTCAACTTTGATGCTGTGCCCTAATTAAGCATACTTCATTTGTGAATCAATCTGAAAGAGTAGGTTTCATTTATTTTCGTATGCATAGCAGAACATTTCTCAGAGTTTTCTGCTTTTCATGATAGGATTTCTAGGCTTCATTTGTCATAGTAATAGGCACTGATGCATGTTTTAGACTTTTAGTTATGTTTCTTCCTAGCTTTGCTGGTGCAGATTGTAATGGTACTGTTTGCAATTGCATTGCATAAATCAAATTTTGATTATTGTAAAAAAGACTAATTAGTTAGCTGCAAATCTTGGAGTAAAAAAATTTATCCAAAGAGAAAAAAAATGTATCCATATTTCAATCAGACATATTCTGATCACTAGGCAAAGGCCAAATTGGTAGTCAACATAGTATTTGCTTGTTCTTGACAAAATCAAGGCACACTTAATGTCAAAGACAGAGAACATTCATTTCTTATTATTCTTTTCTATTCCTTTTGAGGGGTGGACAAAAGGCCATATAAGTTATATCCAGAGTCTCATACCACAAGTATAGTCTCTTGCTATGTTTTTGAATACACAGCTTCTTTCCCTGGATATCTTGATGATAATAAATACTGCAGATAGTTCTCATCTAATTATGACTTACAATTCAGACCATCCATGGATCAAAGAAGATGGAGAAGCACCTGATACGCCACTTGACAATGCTGTTCTCAACAGACTGAAACAGTTCAGAGCAATGAACCAGTTTAAGAAAGCTGCTTTAAGGGTAAACTTCTTGCTTTCCTGTTGAAATATTGCATCAACTCAAGGTCCACAGAATTTGCTATATGATTGACTAGTATTGCTTAGTGACACAATTCAAGGATCACTAGTGGAGATGGAATCATACCACACCTCACCTTTTTCTTTTAGAAATTAGAACCACAGGTAATTCATTGACCTGGATGTGATACTAATTAACTTCGTGGTCTGGATTCAAGTTTAACAACAAAACATAGTAATTAGCCGGATATCGCACAAGATTTTCTTTTATTTTGAGCATGAAAGCTTAAAAAGAAATCATCTTTTCATTCTAAAAGAAAATCTTTTTCAAGGAAAAACAATTAGAAAGCTGTTGGGTCACTTTTTGGAAGAAGAAAGGCATTCATCAGTCACAAGGGTCTAGTTGTGATCTTTTAATGCATTTTTATTACTAAATTTAAATATCTGCAGGTAATAGCAGGATGCTTATCAGAGGAGGAGATCAGAGGCCTGAAGGAAATGTTCAAGAATATGGATTCTGACAATAGTGGAACCATAACTCTTGAAGAACTGAAACAAGGTCTTGCTAAGCAAGGAACAAAGCTATCGGAGCATGAAGTCAAACAGCTAATGGAAGCTGTATGTTCTATATGCATTCAAATCTTTCTAGATAATTCAATCAATGTAGAAGGAAAGAACCTAACTGTTGCACTAACTCTTTGGTTCTATAACAATATAATAACTTCTTAACACAGGCTGACGCAGATGGGAATGGAACTATCGATTATGAGGAGTTCATTACAGCAACGGTGCACATGAACAGAATGGATAGAGAAGAGCATCTATATACAGCATTCCAGTACTTTGATAAGGACAACAGTGGGTAAGTTTTGACCACACTGAGAATTCCATACAACTTATCACCATGACATGAGCATTTCTAATGTTGGATGATAGATCAAACAATTCAATGACCTTATCAATTTCTGATTAGTTTTCTTTATTCTTCTTTAGATATATTACAATGGAAGAACTTGAGCAAGCTCTGAAAGAGAAGGGGCTATACGATGAAAAGGAAATCAAGGACATAATATCTGAAGCCGATGTGGATAATGTAAGTAGAAAGAGACCATGCAACAGCATGAATCAGCATATTACTAGATAATTAATGTAGAGCTCAGAGGCCTAGCCAATTTGTATATGAATAGCTGTTTGAAGAAACAAAACTAACACGATCTTTTTTCCTGCTCTCTTGCAATATACAGGATGGAAGGATAAATTATGATGAGTTTGCGGCCATGATGAGAAAAGGGAACCCGGAGCCAAATCCAAAGAAGAGAAGAGATGTGGTTCTTTAACCATATACAGAGAAGAGGAATGAGAGGAACAGTGTTGTATCCAATATTTTGGCATGCTGGAGAAATCATTCATAAGATTGTAAGCTAATCAAGAGAGGACAAAAGAACCTGAACAGCTTCATAGTGAATTCTATTCATAATCTTCATGTACAAAATCTTGCTTGTGGGGATCGAGTTAGGTGGAGAAAATCTCAAACATCTTGATGGCTTTTGAAGGTGTCAGCTTTTCTGAAGTCCATGATAGAAATAAGCAATCTTATGTGAGCTAATCCCTACAATAGATTAATTGATTTAGAGAATTTGCAAAGTGAATAGTGTGTAAACCTCCAGCAGCTGCAATCTCATGAATGCATTTTTTTTTGAACAAGCTGAAGGTGTTGTTAACCTGAATAAAATCCTTCCTCATTGGCAGAGTATGGTGGAAAATAATCTATTGAGAACCTCACTGTTCAAATGATATGGGATAACAAAAAAAAGGGTGTGTCCAATGTACAACGCTCCTGTCGATGCGGAGTCTGGGGAGGGTCAATGTACATAGCTTTTTTTTAAGAGACATTAAATATTTAAAGAGGAAAAAGTGATATGGGATGTGAAATATAAATAACATTGACAGCAGAAATGGTGGAACATGAAGTTTAGCTTCCTTTTGCAGTGGATATATGAAATAGTTTTGCACTCCATGCCGAAATGATGACAACTATATTTGGCATCCTTAATTCTGTAGTAATACTTATCAAACTGTGGATTGAGAGTGAGAAATAATCTCAACACAGTTTTTGAGTTAAAGGAGGCTCCTGCCGAACAATTCTTGAAGTAGAAGCTGGTAAAGTTGTAGAGGTGTGATGAATTAAGATCAGTTGATTAGGTAGGCTTTCCAGAAAATGATATATTATGCGCATATCGGTGATATTTATAGAAATATTTGTCATAAGCTTATTCTGCTATGGAGCATCAGCACTAACTATGTGGATGATGACATGAAAGCTGCATGGTTTAAACCAGTTCACTGTCTTCAATCTAACATATGCATCACAACCATCATTTTTGGATACGCAAGAAGATCTCGAAAGAACTACCGAAGAAACAAGGAATACATGGATCCCAGGAAGATCAAATACATGATTGCTGGCTTATTTATTTTCTGGCTACCTTGGCTCATCTTGATCTTGATCACTGACGAAAAAAATAGTTGCGGAGCAGATTTAATGGTTGCTATATTTGTTTACGCAAAGAGTACTGCCCCATAGTGTTAATTCAGCATAAATGAACAATTGAGATTGAAAACAAGCTCAGCACACCTCTTGGCCTCTCTTCCACCAATTTGCTTTGCATGTTTAACTGAAGTCTTCTTACAAGCTATAAATAGAGGGGGCGAAATGGAGGGCAGAGAAAAGAAAAGGAAAACAATGAGTGAGAAGAAACATGGACATCCTCAAAAGTAGGTGAATTGAAGGTTGAAACATTCCTCCATAGGCTTTAGAAAGATCATGGAACAAAGTGGTGGTCATGGTTTTGTCAAAAGCAATCCTTCTTGGCATGCAAAGGCTTCTTCTATAAATCCATGTGTTCGGGTTGACAGAGAAGTTCTCCAAGCATTTCCCATCCTCCCTTTCTAGGGAAGAATCATGGCGAAGCGCTTGGAGGTACATGATTTAGCAAGCATAAAAAAGAAAAAAAGAAAAAGATTTTCCCTTTGCTTCTTTGATGTTTGAAACGATTTGATAATTAGTCTTCGAATTTTTTAGCACGAAGATCATACCTTTTTTGTTTTGTTTTTGATAATTAGTTCTTTAATTCTCCTTTGTTAATATCTGAAGTCAGTAGATATAGATAATCGAGCGTTACCACCTGATGAGTTTCATCTGGTGTAACAATACATCATGAAAATTTTACCTTCTTATTCTTACTCTTTAAAGCTTGTTTTTGTTTCCCTGTACTGTTATCCTCAGTTGGAGATGGTTGACTTAGCCTTGCTTTGTCACTTTCTTACTATAATTTTTTGGAGGATCAAGCTTTTTTCGCTTGTATTAACAATTCTCTTCTCAAAATAGCCCAGCTGTTCTTCTAGGCAAATTTGAAACATGTGCTTGTTCACTGGATATCAGAGCAAGATATGAAATAGAATTTTTCTTTCCTTTTTTTTCATTTTGGAATCTGTTTAATTTTGAGCTAGTGCCAAAAACGTTTGAAACTTCAGATGCATGTGAATTTATTTCTTTTTCTTTGTTTTCTTCTATCAGACTAAGAACTACAGGTGGATATGTAATGCACCTAGAGAGAGAATGAGAACTCTTCCATTTCTTTCAGTCATTTAGATTTGGCACCACTGTCCCTTATTTCTTTAAGCTTTGCTTAAGGAGTTGGCCATGTTAAGCTGCTTCTTTTTTCTCTGTTGCAAGTTTATCTGATGTCTATTACTGGAGATACTGCCTCAATGTTGTGATCCATAGAAACTCTGCATGACATGTCAAGATGCTTTTCTGCAATCCTACTATTAGACATTGAATGCTTGAAGCATTTGTGTTCCTTTGCCTCTATGTTCATCCGTTTACCGGTTGAATTGTCTCCTTTCAGAACAAGGAATGGAGGTCTGTTCCTCAATTTGGAGGGTGGGATCAAAAGACAGCTACACCCGACTACTCCATGGTCTTCTCGAAAGCTCGCGCAAACAAAAAACACAATAAGGCTGAGTTCAGGCCCTCAACCAGCCTCGGAACTGAAGAGGAGTTCATGGTTTACCAACGCTATAAAAGCAATGAGTCCACCAAGGTAAGAAATGGTTCTTCCTTGCTGCATTTCATTTTCTTTCACTATTTGATCCAAATTTCAGTTTGCGGATGATATGGTTTATTCGCTTGTTGGTTCTTCTATACATTAATCTACGACAACTACATGTAGACCTTACGACGAAAAACTTAATCCACTCATAATTCGATAGACTGAAAGCTCACATGCTCTTCTACTAGTGTTCATTGAATTAGATCTTAAATAGTTCATAGACTACTCGAATCTGATCTTAATAGTGATACATGTAATAGACAGAGGTGAACCTTTTTTTCAGTCCTAACCAAGAAAACTTACCAGATCTGCAGCAATGCAGGATATATGGTAATAACACAATGTTTACAGTACATCCAATGGACTTCTTTCCATCTATGATTATATGTGAGAATGATAGATATCTATTACCATAAGACATTTAGGATCTTGCTATAGAGGTGGTAAGGCAAAACCTAATACATCCTTTATTGAACTCTTCAACATTTTGCATTTTATATGTTTCAAGAATCACAACATTGAGGCAGTATACATGCAATTGCATTTTTATTGTATCATGTATGTTCACCTGAAGTGGCTTCTATAATTGACTTTTAATTGAGTTCAATCTCTTCCAGCATTACATTTTGCATGTTTCAAGGATCACAACATTGAGGCAGTGTGTATGTACAATTATCTCAAGTGTTTTTGCAGGATCACTACGTTGTATACTTAGGCAAGGAAACAGTTTACGCATGCTGCAGAGCTTTCAAATATATACATGTTGAGCATATGCTGGTTCATTTTATAATTGATGTGCTTTTCGGGTTATGAAATCAATTCACATCTTGAAATTATAATTCTTGGAGATAATGGTACAATTTTCAATCTGGCGGCATCTCTGAACATCTCTTAGGTATCGAAACTTCAAAAGTTTGCTTCAGTCTAAAGGTTTTCTAATGCAATCTTCAGGGCATTCCAGTGAACCATATTGGGGTTTTGCATGTACCATTGTGAGGTCAGACACTCATGTCTATGTGCAACAAGCATCCCTCTCATCTTTAAGCTACAGGGTTCAATCTATTTCTTCTTGCTCTAAGGCAATTAAACTTGATTTATATTTAGGCATCTAATAGGATCATAAGGTTCCGACATAAGCTCACACATCAATGAATAGTGTAGAGTTATCTCCATAGGTATCCTGCATCAATGAACCAAAGTTGATGTTGAAGTAATTGCACAAGTAGGATCTTTAATTATCACACGCAGGCTCAATGCAACACACTTATCTACAATCGATAAATGGTGGTGCACATAATCACTCCTCCTGAAACAATAAACTAAGATCATCATCTTGTCATATGACATTGGTTAAGAACCTGGTTTCGGAAAGAGTTTAACTGCTCTGAAGGTAATGTGTTCCAATTAATTAACAAGAAAACATCCTATTCAGTACAAATATCTTCATCTACCTCAGTATTTGAAAAGTCTATCAAGAACCAATGATGAATCATAAGACTAAATATATTCAGAGCAAGGTAGGGTATTTTAAGTGGAAATATAGGACATAGAGAATAAGTATCAAATTATCTTAGACTGATAGGTTTTATTTTCTTTTACATTGTATTGTAAATATCCATTTAGAACCCATTTATCATGTTGTGGTAAGTATGAGTCTAGAAGTGTCGGGGGATGATTGGTTCAAAATCACTCGTAATTAACTTCTCAGGGAGCATCCACAGAAGACTTGGCTTCCCAATAGGTTGAACACTCAGATCTACTATAAGTAGATATTTTCTCCTAATTTCTTTTAATCTGGGCCTTTTTTCTTCTATCTTAAAATGCAACCAAAACGTTCTCTCCTTTTATGTTGTACCATTCCCGTGACACAAGATTGATACGTAGCATCAGAACATCGATACATCACCTCTTTTTAGATGTCTTTCCTTTCGGTTTTGGTTAATTTTTTAAGTCTGAGGAATATTAGAGTCAGATGCTTCTCTAACCTGCACTGTTCAGATCTTACCTTAACAGGGAAAACACTTTCAAGGTAGGTGGCATCTCTAGCTTTGATTATAGCACTACTACATGAGATTTTACTTCCCTCAGGACAATCAACTAGAAAATTTTGTTTTTATTGTTGTTTTAGGAATTGCCTATAAGGAAAATTTTAGAATTAATATTCAGATGTAGCTCATGAAAACAAACACAATTTTTGTTTATGATGGAATCACCTCATTTGATGTGTTCTCCTTGCATAAATCAATACAAGTACCTTAATCCTCTTCGGAAACCAGTTTGTGTTATGGCCTTGTCAAAAAATCTATTAAGGGTTTCATCTTTGGACTCGGATGCCATCATTTTGAGTATTCATATATGAGGCTCAATTATCTGTTTCAGCTGAGTAGCATTGCCATCTGAATCATAGATGTCACTTTGGTTCAGCTCTAGAAAACCGGAATCTTGGACTAAATTTGGAAGTCTTTCTTAGACTTGATGTAGAACTAAAATCTTCTAGTTAAGATCTAGAAGTGGTGTTAGAAATCAGATTCTACAGCATTCATGCTTTAGTGCAAGGGAAAAATCAACTTTCTCGAAGAGTTTCAAGACCAAACCTCACCTAATGAACAGATAACCCCTCAGTGATTAGAGTCTCTTTGTATTCATGCTGTAAAAGAACATAACCAGTAATGATAACTCCATGGAGGCACTGCACATAAGAAAGTGAGAAGTATTTTTTCTTCAGGTGTTGAATTCGGATCCAGACATCCTGTTTCCAGGGTTAGAATGCGGTCTCAACAATTGCTGTCACATTTCTTCCTTCTGATTTTTAATGTGCTGAAATCTAACTACAGATCTACAAAGTGCAAGATAAAAATAATCAACATTCTATCGAGCATAGTAGCACCAAGGTTCATTACATTCTCTTTAATCTCTTCTTTATCTGTGCCACTCTTACACTCATCGAGCCATGGCATGAGATGAACATTAAATACAAATATAGATCCCGATAAGCTCATTGGATCAGTAAAAACCAGTCGGTGTGTATATGTTCGACTGGTATTTTGAACCGTGCCAAAAATTTTACTAGGAAATTTGTTCTACAATTATGGTAGTTTGATATAGGGGATATTGAAATCAAAACTGGTTGTTCATTAACCTTTAACATCTATGTGCAGAAAGGGAAGAAGTCTCTGCGATATCTCAGCTGCTTCATGGCCTGACTCTGAAAATGAGATGGTGTCATCAGTTTTCAGCAGCTTGCAGACTGTGTATGCCGAAGATCGGGGGGAGACTGATTACACCAAAAATCTCATCATCCCTGTTAAAAGAAGTGTCATGTGTGTTCTCCAGGATTTCATCTGTCTTGTATGCTCACCATGTTTCTCTACATTATATCGAGCAAGGCTGGCCGGTATATATATCCATTAAAAATGCTGATTGCTAGAAAGATGTGTGTGTTGTTGCAATTCATTTAGAAAAAAATTATCATGGTTGTTTTTCTACCTTTATTATTATGTATCTCCAGAAGAAGTTAATATCTTCATATCAATCAATGCAGTAGTATCAAGCAACCTAATGACTGGAAACATGAGCAATATGATGCTACATTTCAGAAGCACCTTGCCCTGTAAAGTTCACTTCATCAAGTGTTCTGCACAAGACTCCAACTTGCAAATTGGTAAAACAACTACTAGAATTGGGAATCAGTACAGTGATCTTTCGATCTTTGCATGCATTTGAGTACAATGTTCACGATGCAGGTGTGTCAGCAAAGAAACTTGGTCATCCAAGACATAAGTTGACCGTAAAGAATCTGTAACAGAGAAGTGGAGGCAGGTAAGACGAAGCTGATAGATTTGGTGTTGACCTGTGACTTTGCTACTGATGAAGCAGAGATACGAACGAGGAGCATTCGACGCTCACGATAAATAAGATTTCTTTGCTTCGTCTTCTCTCTCCCTCTACGTCATGCCTTCGGTCAGCCAATAACCCCTCGCTAAAACCGGATGTAGATTTCTCCTCTCTGTTCCGGAGAACAGCAGCACGTCGCCCCACCATGAAGACGGTCCCGGTAGCCATCGGCCGCGGGAGAAAGGTCGTGCGGATCCACTGCACCGACGCGGACGCCACCGGTTCCTCCGGCGACGAGAACGAGGCTGCCATGCGCCGGGTCAAGAGGCACGTCCAGGAGATCGGGTTTGAGGTGGCGGCGGCGAAGGCGCAGGTTGACAGGCGGCCGCTCGCGGCGGTTTCGGGCTCCTGCTGTGGGAAGCGGTTCCGAGGCGTCCGGCGGCGACCTTGGGGCCGATGGGCGGCGGAGATACGCGCCCCATCGCGGAGGAAGCGGGTGTGGCTGGGGACCTTCGACACCGCGGAGGAAGCTGCCGCCGCGTACGACGCTGCTGCAATCAGGCTCAGGGGAGACAACGCCGAGACCATCTTCCCCGCCGGAACGGCGGCGGCGGCCGGAAACAGGGACTTATCCTCCGTTGGGGATGCTGCCGCCTCCGACAACCCGTTCTCCTCCCCGTCGTCGGTCCTCTGTAACGGCATGGACAAGACGCCGTTCGACGTCCTGGGCCACGGCGACGTCGACGCTTTCGGGCTCAGCGTCGATCCACCGTTACACACAAGGGAGTTGTACCCACCGAAGTGGCCGTGTGGGGACACAGGCGACGAGTTCGCGGAGTTCGCCGCGGAAGATTTCCTGCTACCGGCAGCACCTTCGAGTCTCTCGAATGCCGATACTGCCCTTGCCTTGTCACAGTCGAAACGAGAACATATGGCAAGAGTGAACGGTAAGTCGTGCTACGTACGTGTAAGCCGTGTATTGTCGCCAAAAGTCGTGCTACGTACGTGTAAGCCGCCATATTGCGGCATGCGTGGCACCATTTGAGCCGTCGATCGGGGTGGCGGGAGGGCCCAGCTGTGGCCCGCGGCGTGAATCCTCCGGCTCCCTCGATCGGGAGATACGTGGCACCATCTCTAGATTCCCATCTATGTAGAATTTTTGCTCCCTAATGGATCGGATTCGCTGGGCCCGCACCAAAATCCGAGATAACTAGCTGAAACAACCCGCGTCCAAGAAGGGTACAACGTCGGGTTCGGATCAATCATGCGGGCATCGTCAATGTGCGGCCCGGTTTGCTTTGGGTCGGCATCTGCTTATAAAAGCAGAAGAAGGAAGACTGCCGTTTGACCTGCTCGGTCGACCAAGGTTCCTCCTTCTCAGGCCTCAAACTTGAATCACCATCATTTTCCTCAGATCCATTTGCAGAGTCATCGTACCCCAGATCGTTGCACTTCGGATCGGGATACTGCCGCCGAGAGCGATAGTTCGCATCATCGCCACCACCAGGTACGAAGTTGAGATCTTTGTAGGTTCATTCCCCTGCCCTCGATTCTTGCTGGATCCGTCGGCAAATTGAGATAGATCTTGCCTTCTCATTCATTTTTCCACTTAATTTTCCCGTGTGAAACTGTTGCATCTATTCCTGGTCTTAATCGTTCGTTTTTGTGGCAGATCGGCCTGCATACACGAATGGGAAAGTTTTAAGGCAAAATTATCGCTTTGTCATAGCATTATATATGGTTTTTCCGTTGATAAGTTAACATTTGGTGTGACCCCCATAGACTCGCGAGAAATTATCTGTTTTGACGGTGGACGTACGGTTTTGCCCTTTCGGAGCTTATGAGCTCCAAAAGGTGCTTTGGGCCACCCACACGGTACACACAGCACTCAAGTGTAGGACTGCACCATTGACTTACATATTGGCACTCTTCCCCTATAAGAGTGAGCACTGATAAGGATATTTAATCCCATATTGGTTGAGGAGTAAGGGAACCAAGGGCTCATAAGGCCGTCGAGTCATCCTTATCCTCAGAGGCATCGAGCTCACAAGCTTTGAAAGGGTAAAACCATACAGGTATGCCCACCGCCCAAAGCGGACAATTCCTCACGCCCCTATAGGATCGTACCAATGACAAATCGATCAAATGTTAACTTATCAAATTGGTACTAGAAGGAGGGCATTGGGCTCTTGGCTCCCCTACGGGAGGGAGCACTGATAAGGACATTTAATCTCACATTCATTGAGGAGTAGGGGAATCAAGAGCTCATAAGTCCGTCGGATAATCCTTACCCTCAAATGCTCCTTTTGAAGCTCACAAGCTTCGAAAGGGCAAAATCGTATGGGTACGCCCATCGCCCAAAGCGGATAATTCCTTACGCACCTATGGAGTCGCAACAATAGCGGACCAACCAAATATTGACTTATTAGATTGACGCTAGAAGGAGAGCCTGGGCCCTTAACTCCTCTATAGGAGGAAATACTAATAAAGATATTTAGTCCCATATTGGTTGATGAGTAGAGGAACCAAGGGCTCATAAGTCCATCGAATCACCCTTACCCTCAGAGGTGCTTTTTGGAGCTCACGAGCTTCGAAAGGGCAAAATCGTGCAGGTACGACCACCGCCCAAAGCGGACAATTCCTCACGTGCCAACGCGGTTGCACCAATGGTAGACCGACCAAATGTTGACTTATCACCCGTGATAGAAATGTAAGCTATGGAATACGATTCATTATGACAAGCAATAAGTGGGCGGTTAGATTAAGATATCATTATTTTGGGAAATGGGTGGTTCATGTGGAGGAAAATAAATGAAACAAGAGGTAAAGAACGAAGATTCAACGTTTTTGAGACAAAATGAAGGTGTTGAAATTGTTCTCACTCATAGTGAGCCCTGATCATGGATTTGATCCATATTGGGTTTCCTTGTTCCAAGTGCCACTCAGGTACATCAGGATCCTATCTAGGGGTGGCAGATTGTCATGAAGGCTGAATGACAATGGGCGCACGAGACACCTAGCAAGGGTTCAAACCCTTGACTTGCGAGAAGGGGATCCAAGTACATGCCCATCAGGCTTGCTGGTCGGGTGTGATTTGACCCATATCGTTGAGGCTTGAAGGATTGCTAGTGAAGTACATTGTAAATGGAAAAGGATAAAATGGGAAGGAACATAGCTATTTGCAATTTCCAAAAAGGTTTGGTATAGAAGTACTGAAATTCACAATTGAACAGATGGAAGCAATGTGTTGGAATATAGAAGTTGGGGATATTTGAATATCTGTAGAAGTTAGAGGTGGGTAGGGTAGTGGGTCATAATGGTCAGAAGTCCAACATTTTTCCCTTTTGTAGTAGGTAAGTGTCAAAAATCATTATTTTTATAAACTATTCAAGAGTGAACATTGACTGTATGAGATATAATGCAAAAGTTTCTTGACAATATATGCAAACAAGAAGATATTGGAAAGAATCGTATCAAAATACTCTGCAATAATTCAATTCTTGACTAGGTAATCTTAAATGATACATTTGGCAATAAAGCTTGCATGTCCTAGTTACATGAATGTTGAACTTAATCTCAAGCTATAATGAGAAGTGGGACAACCTTATATGCTGACACAAGTGGTTTTCCACAAGTACTCATTTAGTATACATATACTTTCAAAAGCTTTGCATGAGTATTGCTCAAACTGAAGTATACATAACAGTCAACCCTATCCGTTTTCAGTGTTGTACTCTTGGTAACATGGCCATGGTCTCTCTAAATTGGTTTCTTATGCAATAGGCTTTGGCCATTATAAAAAAAATTGCACGTTTGGGTTCTGCCATATACTGCATTATATGGTTTGATTTCTTGGACATCAACAGAATTGTGCTACAACCTAACCAAGGTTGATTTCATTTGAATATTAGTACTCTCTATTTTGCTTCTCATGGTTATTAACTGCAGTATCCTCATAGTGTGCAATTTGTTTCTTTACCCGTAATTTTGGGCATGCTTTACTTTTAATTGGAATTTCTTTTCTCAGTATCTGATTGTTTGCATCAGTTCATGAACTTTAACTTTTACTGATGTGTTCTTTCTTCTGTTTTTGTTTTCCCAGAAGCAGCTGGTGGTCTGATTATTTGGACTCAACTTCTAACCAGAATGGGAAATTGTTCAGGAAAAGTGAGAAATTATCCATAGATGACATCAGAACCCATGATGAGTGCTATGAATTTGTAGTTTTAAGCATTTTGTATTGTGGATGTTTCTTGGATCACATGCTTTTGGTTGTTATCCACTGTTTTTATAATCAATCTCGATATCCTTTTTTAATTCACTATTTACTTGTGCTTTTCAGATATGTTTTTCTCATAGTTCAGAAGTCAATGCATGTGAATGAATTTAACTGTGCATTGTATGTGTTGTAGAAGGAAATTCTGAATTTAGTAAAAGATTATTGTGGTTTATGGAGTATGTATATGAGTTAGCAATGGTTCTCTGAGTAGTAATGTTGCAGCGATAAAGCCTGTGACTTTTAGCTTCATCAAACATATTATTATGCACTAACATGATTTCTTCTCCAGTCGCATTTTTCATCTGTCTCATTGCAAGAGCCTGCAAGTTCATGCTTTATCCGTTGACTGCTAGAGGAATTTTCATCATTGTATAAAATGTTATCTTCACCTATCGTGCATATATCTGATGATTTTCTGGACCTGAACGTCTGATGTTGCATATTTTTTACCATGTTCCTCTGGAAATTACCTTACTCATGTTACATATATAGATGTTAGTCTCAGGAGTTGGTGAATATTCAGTAATCTTTTCTATTTTTTTCCTTTTATTTTAGAAAGGTGGAGGGGGTGATCTTGAAGATGAGATAAACTTCAGAGGTGGAAATGTGCATGTAATAACTTCAAAGGAAGGCTGGGACCAAAAAGTTTCGGAAGCAAACAAGGATGGGAAGATAGTAAGCAACTTGAAAAGTTCCACTTATTTATGTACATTTATCACATTAACAAATATGATCATAGAGTCCTCTTACACAAGCAGTCAACACCAAATATTAAATGATCTCCTAGTGCTTGCATTTGCACATACAAGCAGTCAATGTAAGTTTGCAGTTTTATGACTGAAATTCATATCCTGTTCTATGTTATGAATTTGGTTGAAATTGCACAACCAATTGAAGAAAGGAACTCATTAGGGGATGCATTTCTTAGAGGTTGCTTTTTCAGTCTTTTCTTTCAGAAGGTCAAAAGATTCCACAACTATTCTCTTTTCTCCCAAAGGCGGCAGGTGATAATGGAAAGAAGCCTATGCTGCCTGGTCAAATATTATAAATTGATTTTTTTAATATCAGAATTAGATAGTTCATGTGAAGACATCTTGCATATGTTAAGTTTCATATTATTTGCATTCAAGAAGTATTGGTTAAATGTACATGAGCACTATAAATTTATATTTGGTCTTTTAAAAAGTAACCTAGCTAATTTCGATACAAACACTAACCTCCTTTGCACTTGTAAATTACTTGAGACTTAAGGCATATGCAAATTCTTTCGGACTAGGAATCTCAAAGTTGCAGGCTTTCAAACCGGGACCATGCTTCTTTAAGTCCTGTTTGCTCTGGTGACATTTTAACTGTCAGAGATAGATCTGCATATACTCTCTGAATACTTAACCACTGTTGAACCTGTTTCACTTTAGCTTATGACATGAGGTTAAATTATAGTCACAAAAAAGAATAACTTCAGTGTTTTTGCTGTTGAGCTTGATTTAATAGCAGAAATAAAATCTTATATTCATATATCAACATTGTTTCTTCGAAAATCCAAGTATAGAAAGCCTGCATTGTTGAAGTGGATATTACTTGTAAAATCAATTACACGGCCATTGGCAATCTTTGTGTAGGGTTTGATATACTTGGATGGGGTCTGATGATGTTCGTCTTCATTGTGATCTAATATAAATTTAACATTCTAGTAAGTGCCCTACATACCTGGTGATTTTAAGCCGGATCTTCTAACTACATACCTGGTGTGATGAAAGTGCTTTAGA